ATGCCATTGCATCAATCAAATTCAACATAGGTTGTTAAAAAATAATATTTACGCGTTCTGCAATTTTAAATATGGAATCAAACAGTCAATCAATCCGTCAAATTGAAGGTCTCCATAAATCCAGTGTTAACATACAATTTATGTAAATAAAAAGTCAGGATTCCGGTTTAAAATTATGGCAGCCTGTTATTTGTTGCATTATATACCTAAAAGTATTCAAAATTCTTGAATTCTTACAACATCACGATTCGTCTAGAGTCAAGATTGTTAAAGTTACACAAATTTTTGATAAAATCCAGTTTAAAATTCATTTTTAATACAAGCCCTAGAGTACGATAGAAATATTAGATTTAGATGCTACATTTACTAATAGTGTTGTTGTAAATGTTTTTCAAACACAATTTATCGCAACATAGTAAATATTTCTGCTGTAATACAGTTCTAAAATAGAACTATCGAGGCACAATCGTGTTTCCATAAACAATGAAATAAACATTTACTCCTTTCCTACAAAAAATATAATTTTTTACATCGAAGACAGAAATCGATGCACACCTGTCCGTGTCATCCTCAGTCTAACAAGAAAAAAATAATGACCGTGGACAAGATACGGTGTTACAACAGGCTGATAGTTAACAGGTTGCAACGCAGAGACGTTGGCCGTAAAGTAGGGAGGTAGAGGGAGGAAATCGTCGGGTAGGAAGCCTTCATTTGGTTGCAAATGGGGTTTCTCCCGAATGGACGTTTTAAAAGTTTGCCGCTGCGAGGCATTGTTTGGCCGACACTGGCAAAGGCAAGGGGTGAGTCGGTCGAGGCTTTGATTAACTGGCGCCACGAGGCAGAGCCCTTTCACGATTGTTTGCCACTCTTGCTGTCTTCGTTATTCTTTGTTCTCGCCGGTCTTCCGTTTTTCTTCTTGCCCCGGCGTTCTTTCTTGCGGCGGTTGTCGTTTCCGTTCTTGCCAGTCTTCCCCCCTTTTTCGGGCGCAACAGCCATCGAGCCCGCTTCTTCTGTTCCATTTCTTTATTCACTCAGTCCTCCTCGTCTTCCATCTTTCTTCTCTCTTTTACCGTTTCCTTCGCCGTAGCCAGCCTGACCAGATACTTCAATTAAGTTCACCCCTGGATAGGAAAAGCCAAACTACTTTTCGTACGTATGCACTCTATTTGCGCGCTCCCCGGGTTGCCTCTGGCCCGTGAACCGAAATCCATTTAGGGCTGTCACGTTCCCTGGAAAGGTATTGATTAGCTCTCGCGATTTTGTAAACGGCGTGTGACGTATTAGCCGTGTAACGGCGACGAATGCTCTCCAGCGAAATTGCGTCGTTCGTGCCACGGCGTTGCACGTGTGCCACCGTGTATACGTTCTGTGTGTTGCGTGTGAGTGATCGAGGGAACGAGAATCGATCGTGTAAAATTTCAGAGCCGAGCGTGTACGACGAAAACGACAAAGCGAATATTTTCTGTCGCTCGTAATCGACATGTTTGTACGTTTTTATTAAACCATCTTGTCGACCCGCGGATCGGGAAACGGTTTTACGAATAAAAGTTAATAATTTGCGGTCGCGTGAAATGGAATAAAATTAAAGAGACATTGGAAAAATTACAAAAGATAAGAGGCAAAATTAGAGAAACGATCTCCACTTTTTTGGCTATTAATCAACTCTTATTTTAGTTTTTTTGAAGCATAAGAAACCGTTTATCAGGTAGAAATTTAACTGTAACGTCAAAAATAATTTTTGAGTTCAATAAGATGTAATACATGTTCTCGCATTTTATATTTTCACGTATTAATAAACACGATAGATGTAAACAAAGCTACTACAGGTTGATTATCAAATACTTTCATTCTTAATTGAATCTAAAAAATTACGAAGATTATTCTGGAATGTTTTATTATTGACGTACAATCCTACGACTCCAATAAAATTTCAAGGGAAAACTTGTATTCATATTTTCCGATAATGGAGCGTAAACATTTATTTTTTGATACGACATTCATTGGAGATATTACTGGCACAATCGACCCAATAATTTATGGTCCTTTGGGATCGCAGTTTTGAAAACAACAGTATTATTTTCGTTTCGTTTATGAATTTTTCATTGCGTGCTCTTGATAAAGCTGTTTTATCAACTGTGAATAAATATTTTTAATTGCCGTTTCAAGTGTAAAGAAAAAAGCTTTTGGAGCGTATACTTCACTTCATATTTAAAATATTAACACTTCGAAGCAAATATTTTTTATTTCGATTATTTAGGGAAATGTGGTTTAAATTTTTATACCGATAACATGAAAATTCTTCGAGTATCGTTTATTGAGTTATTTTTATTCAATTTTGCTATTTCATATCACACTTTCGATATTATATCTTTATCTTATTGGAACGGAGGCAGTGCTTCGACTAAGGGCTATTATCGTTTTCGGAAATTCTATTTTATCCAGTGATTGCTCGAAGGTATTGTGGTCAAGTACCTATAATCAGCAGAATTCAGCACGTATTGCTGACTGTTCACGGCTATAACATCTCGTAACCCCGAGTAGAACAAAATATCTTAAATAGAAGGTGTTAGAAAATAAACGAAAAATATTCGAATTCATTTTAACGTGTTTTTCGATAATTGAAATATTAAATTTCTCACGAAGTGTGATATACAAAAGTTAAAATTCAAAATTCATAAAAATACAATATGATTGTATCAAACAGAGTGCATGGCCCAAAAAATGAAAATATTTTAATTCTAAAAGTGATTTAGTTAACAGCTTTTGCAAAGTTGAATTCGATCATCATTTTGGAGCGAATCTTCAGTTGTAAATCAATTTATATAAATACCATGGAAAAGTTCAGGAAAATAAAGAATTCTGTCACTAACGAAAATGACAAGTAATTAATTGAAAACAATATTCGTTCAGTTCTTTTCGCGTAAATCGATAGCGGAGAATAAATAATCATAGATAATACCAGTTTAGTAGGACAATTGAAATCAATACGTACAGAAAATTGATTGAAATCAATATTCATACACAGTATTTTGAAATTTAATATAAATTACGAGCTTGCGTGAAATCAGGCATCGATATGAATTATTTGATTGAAGCAATTAACGTCTCTACTCACCCCAATAAGCAAACTTATAATGACATTTCTATCAAATTGCTACAGTTCTGTTTAACTAAAATTCTATTTATTCGATTCGACGCAGTTCTCCGCATACTGCATTTTAAATTCTATAAAATAGAAATTAATACATTTCGTTTAATTTGCAGATAATTATCCACTTTATCGATTACAAGCTCGAATCGAGCAACGAAATATATAAAATGCATTTCAGTGAAATGAAATCCATGGAAGATTACGTCCTGAAAGTAGATTCGACGATTCTTATTCGCGTTAGGAACAAAATAATCGGCGATCGTTGATCGCGATCGCGTACAGTCGCTACTTCTCGGACTTGCTCCATTCTCAGTTCACCGCTATCGTGGAAATTAATTCCAGACTGTTGCTTCTAGCAGACTCCATCGAGGCATGGTATAACTTTGTACTCAAATGGGCCGTTCTATTATACTCGCGTGCATCGACAGTTAAACGAGCCACGTTCTGCCGTAGGTTTGATCTCGCGCCAGTGGTTAAGACGGCCACGTCCCCTTGCTTTTTAAGATATCCACGAAATGGAACGATCGAGCCATTTGTTTTCATACAACAGCGCGTTGAACGGCGATTCTTGCGTTATTAGGTTCTAAAGCAACGGGGAGGGTAGAAAACCAAGTTTTTATACCACCGTCGACGCCTTTATGGTTGTATATACATATATTAGTATCTGGACTTTTCTGGAATTCGAGATAAAAAAGTACATTTCCCAAGAATTCCCTGGAAAATTAAAAATATTACTTTAATCGATTTTGTTAACACATACAGGTGATATGATTTTTCACTGACGAGCTAAGAAATATTAATTCTCAAGTTAGATGTTAAAGAAAATAAATCTAGACCCTTGAATTTTAACGAGTCTGTAATAATAAATTCAGTAACAAATTGTAGACAATTTAAGGGGTTTGGTAGTCGACGAGTTAAAAAAAAAAATACTCCACTTAATTATTTTCATTTAAATTGAAAGGGCAATTTTATGAATAGAGATCGATATACGATATTTCGTTTCGCGTTTTAAAATTATTTTCTCACGGGGAATTGCCTCTTTCTCGGCTCCAAAGCGCTCATTACGGGGTACCTGGTTTATTTCTCAGTTGATCGAAGTCGATTACCGGTCAGCTTGAGTATCTCGTGGTAACGCCGAAGATCGTTCGAGACATTCCGCCTCTATTGAAGAAATCCGATACCGCAAAGTACCTGTATTTATCTGCCGTCGTAGCTTGCCGGAAATATGTCCCACCGGCCAGAGAAACAGGAACCTTTTTTTTCCTCACCAGAAGTCGTTCAACTTCCACGGAGCGATAATGATTTATATTGGCGTTCAATAACTGTTGAGGACACAAACTTTTCTCTATCAAGCAATTTTAATCTCCTATTTTGTATTACATCGTGTGTACAAGAAGCTGTCAACAAATTATAGTGTTTCGGGGTAGATAATTTACAGCTTTTTAGGAACGAATGGACATATACTTTATAGTATATCACTGTATAGTAATTACATCATTATTTTCTGCATGAGAGTATATGTAGGAAGAGGTAATTGGTCGAGTGCTTGTGAGAGAGATAAGTTGCGCGTGGCCCTCTACTGGCGAGTCCGGGAAGTATCGCCACAGCAGTTTTTATGTAATTTTCTGTCAAGAGTGGTTCTCTGATGCTCGAATAACGAACATTCTTGATAAGTACACATATTTTGTTATAAATAATTGTTTAGTGATTCGAAATTTATATTAAAGTCGAATTTTGTGCATAGTACAGCGTAAATAAGTAACTAGAGCCAATTTTGCTCGAATTTCTCGGTTCTCGCGTGCCTCGATGTCGAACAGTATTCATAGAAAGGGATTAATGTTTGTTTCAGTGCCAAAAGTGGAGATCGTCGACGAGCATGGCGCGACAGCCGGTGACAAATTCTACAAAGCAGGTAGCACGATAGAATTGAAGTGTGTGGTCAGCAATATACCACAGCCTACCGGATACGTAACGTGGCGGCATGGACCACGGACGCTGAATTACGACACCACTCGCGGAGGAATCAGGTGAGCCCTTAACACGCGATTTAATGGCACAGAAATTGATTTCTCCGCGATCCCGGCTGGCTCGGATATAATTTCGTGGACATTCGTATTATTATCGGAAACGGGGTCGAGATTATACTCACATGGGGCTCCTAGTTTCATTTGATCCATGGGAATAGTCTGAAGAGGATGATATCCCTTTAGAAGTAATGTGACTCGGGCTCGAGAAATCGTTATACGGTGAAACCTCTTTTATCGGGACCCCGATTATCCCAATTTTGGATCATTGAAATGGTTTACACTTTAACGTGTATGTTTTTACTTTTAATTAAAATTAAGAAGTTTCAAAAAGAGCTTCCAGGCAAGTATAACGTTGGAAAGTCTACAATTGTCGAGTTTGAAAATGATGAATCGATTTCAGAAAGAAGATATGAATAATCAAGATAATAAAATAAATTTATATTGCGTTAAAATTAGGGGGAATTTAAAAAGAAGTAGATGCCTTTGATATTATGATATTCTAAATATAAAAATTTTAGATTTGGGTAAAACAATATTAAATACTCAATAATTGCGTTATTGCAAATTTTAATATTTGTCATTTAGTTTTAAATTATTTTGTACAGAAATAATGAGCAACAGTTCTGTTTATGGTTGAGAAGAGGAATTTCGAATTCGGTTAGAAACCATCTTGTTAATTCATATCAGGCACTTATAGTTCTTAAGGAGTTATGAATTTCATTCCGAGGTTGGGCTACTTTCAAGGTGTTCTGCTTGTATTCTACTGCAAAACGGAATTTCTTGTTAAACTTTGGATAAAGCTGTTGGCTCGCGAGCATAGTTATTAGTGTTATACGAAGCTTGAAGTGGCTTTCACCCCATACCGGTTGAAGAACAATCATGGTCGAGATAATACAAATCAAGTTTTCACAGTATACTTTGATCAACTTTCGCGAAGGCGAAGTAAATAAATAATTCTATCTGTGATCGAGTAATTTCGTAAAATACAGTAGCTGCATCTGACCAAATAATGCAAAAATGTATTATAATATAATAAAAGAATAAATTATAGTCAGCAGCCACCTGTAGTCCATAACTAATTAGGGAGAAACTATTTACTTTGAATATTTTTAATATTTTTCTGTGACTTTTTTTTTAAAGTTTATGAACACGTGATGTTAAAAGAAACATTGACTTTGTCACAGTGTTTTGAGATGTTTCCTTCAAAGTTCCACCATTTTATAACAAATAATAATTTCCAAAAATCCTGTACGTGCAACTGAAGCTACTGTCTTATAGTTTCAGAAAATTGCATGAAAGATTGATGGTTATGAGCAAACGATTCTTGAAAATTGCCTTTATTTTTTCAGCCTGTACAGTGGTTTCCCTCGAAAAGACATTCGCAACGATCGTTCGTGGACGCTTTTTATTCCGTCGATGGCGGCACGAGCGTCGAAAGACGATTATTTCACCGGTAGCCCGTTGATATGTTTGATCAGAAACGCTGACCGTTTTCGATGGCGTTTCGAGGGGGATTATGCGTTTTTCCGCCTACCCGGCGGCGTGTGTTTTTTTTCTTTTCTTTTTTTAATTAGAGCGAACCGGAACATTTGACTACGGCGGGCCAGTGTTCGTGTATGGTTTGCGGGCACTCGAGTAATTCCGTTCCGCTGGCAGTCGATAGTTTATGCAGGCTGCATGGGAATTCTAATTGCCCCGATAAAGAATAGAACGTTCGGTGAATTTTGAAAGGCTTTCATTAAAGTTCTCTGAACTGGCAGCGGTCGCCAGTCGCCGGCGTGTGTGACCTAATTGGTTATAGATATGACGGAATTCATGAATTTTAAATAGCATCGTTCGGTTACTCTCGCCCGAGGGGGGGGGGAGCTGCCTTTCGATCACGGTGATTCGACGGTAAATCGATTTATGGCCACTGCTCGTTAATGCGTCCGCTGTCATTTCGCGAGGGCTTTCTTCTCGGCGTGTCGGAGCAGCAACGAAAACGGGTTGACGAGGCTCGCCATAAAACCGTTCCTAAAGCTAATTTCGTGTCTGACAATATTTCCTGGACACGACTTTTCAGTGTCTGATAATAATCGTCTTTTATCATCGATTTGACATATTATTAACTACCTGAACCATCAACATTTTTCAAGTTCGTTAACTTACAATTGTTTTGTATGCTAAACAAACGTTTTGTAGAGCTCAACATGCCTATGTAAAGTTCATTCACGAATTATATTATCGATTTCATCATTGTACACGTATACAGGGTGTTCAGCCAACTCTCAGAAAAATTTTAATGGGAGATTCTGGAGGCCAAAATAAGACGGAAATCAAGAATACCAATTTGTTGATGGAGGCTTCGTTAAAAAGTTATTAACAAAATTAAATTAGAAAAATTTTAAATCATTCTGGAAAAATTATTTTTGGTCACGGTGGTCAATAACAATCATTTTTCGTGAATAGACATACCCCCGAATTCCTACCCACTTTCGAGAAAAAAATTAATTACTGAAAATGTCTGACCAGGCGTCGATCTATTCCCCTGAAATTTTACAGCGAAATTAAAAAGTTTCAAATCATTCTGAAAAAATTATTCTTGGTCACGGTGGTCAATAACAATCATTTTTCGTGAATAGACATACCCCCGAAATCCTACCCACTTTCAAGAAAAAAATTCGAGAAGGCCTGAAATTTTTCGGCGAAAAAAAATTTCAAAATCGTTCTGAAAAAAATATTTTTGGATGCGAGAGTCAATTACAATTATTTTTGGTGAATAGACATACCCCCGAAATCCTGCGCGTTTTCGAGAAAAAAATTTCTTACCGAAAATCTAATGTCTGACCAAACATTGATATGTTTTCCTGAAATTTCGTACCTACCATGTTTAAAACATCATAACTTCTGAACGGATTGGACGATTTTAATGTTTCAAAAGCCAAACGACGCGTATTTTGACAGAGAATATGTAGAAATTCCAAAAATATTCGGAAAGTTGTTCCTTAACACCTTAAAATGAGAAAAAACCCATAAAAATGGTTCAATTTTCAAACAGTCATAATTCCTACAATAGCGAATATATTTTAATGAAACTGTTTCCTGAAGTAGAGCTCATGGATACCTACAAAAAAGTATTGCACAACTTTTCTGTACAGCGTCAAACAAATTTATTAAAAATGAGAAACGTATTTTTAAGAAAAATCGACAGGGGGTAGGTGCCTAAATTTTTCGCTGAAAAAAAATATTTCAAATCGTGCTGGAAAAATTATTGTCGATTGCGGGGGTCACTTACAATCATTTTTGGTGAGACATACCCCCAAAATTCTACCCACTTTCGAGAAAAAAATTGGAGAATGGTGTCAAATTTTTCGACAAAATTAAAAAATTTCAAATCGTTCTATAAAAATTATTCTTAGCTAGGGGGGTTAATTACAATCATTTTTGGTCAATAGACATACCCTAGAAATCCTACCCAGTTTCGAGAAAAAAATTGGAGAATGGTGTGAAATTTTTCGACAAAATTAAAAAATTTCAAATCGTTCTAAAAAAATTATTTTTGGTTGCAGGGGTTAATTACAATTATTTTTGGTGAGTACACATACCCCCTAATTCCTACCCACTTTCGAGAAAAAAATTCTTTACCGAAGATATACTGTGTGGCTAGAAAAGTTTTCCCGAAATTTCATGCGTATGTTTAAAAAATCATAACTTTTGGACGGATTGAAGGATTGTAACGATTCAAAATTTAAGCAATAGAAAAATACAATGGATGTATGTCTACAGGCGGAATATTAAACGTCAATAACTTTTTAACGAAGCCTCAATCAAAAAATTGCTATTCTTGATTTTCGTTGCGTTACTTTGTCAGGATTCGTTGTTTTTGAGTTCTTTAGTTTCCTCTGTGCAATTGAAAAAATGCTGAAATATCTGATTATATTTGATTATTTTCTCACAGTAAAACTGTACTCTAATTTGTTTGCATCATGTTTCCACAGCTCGATACCCAAAATACTTATTTTCTTTATCAATTATTTCTGATAAAACTATAAAGTGTAACAATATTTATTCGAGGGGAAACGATATCAAATGTATAAAAATAATTGAAAAATGAAATCAATACTTTCATTGGTTTCTGGAAAAAACAATTTGCAACAATATATTTGTATCGCAAAGCACAAAGAAACTTCTACATACGAGCAGATGTTACGTACGATTTCATTTGTTTTTGTTCGACCATTGTCATTATACGTTATTGCGGGGATTCTGGTCGTAATATTGGACAAACATGTTACAAATATGCTTGGTAACTTCACGGTTTATTTCATCATGTATACGAATTATTCCGTAGGTATCGATTAAACAGATCGCGTACAAACACGCGACCGACCAACAATTTTACTGTGTGCAAAACTCGTAATTATTGGCATCGATGGAATTTATTTCTTTAATAAAATGCTGTCGAATGGAATGTAAAATTGCAAGCACCGCTGTTATTAATTACACGTCCTACAAACAATTCGCGTCCAAGCTAGTACAGAAGCTTTGAAGACAAGATATAATTTTATAAGTTGATTGATTAACAGTAGATAATAATAGAAAAATTAATATTTTAATTCTTCTGCAAACAGACTTTGCAAAATTAATAGATATCCTAATGCAGGTGCATATATATATAAATCTGCATAACAGAGATACTGCAATCGTACAGAACTATAAAATTTAATCGTCGACTATAAAAACGCGAAATGTCTACAAAAATGGGACGTTAATATCTATTCTGCTATTACGGGGGTTGTAAAATATAAAAAGAGCGTCGTGCTTATTGCAGAATACGTCATATTTTTCAAAATTAATCTTAGATACGCATTTTGTCATTTCACGCGAGATATTATGCACTTTTCTTTTTGGTCAACTTCGAAAGTTTTTATGCCCTGTTTCCTTTTTTTTTTTGGTTAAAAATATCGTACTTTTCTTTTATATTTGGTAAACGCACCATATAAATGTTTATTCAATTTGAT